ACTGTAAAATTTACTCAAACACCAAATGGAACTTTTCAGTCCCATATTTATTCTGAATATAATCTATCCATCTTCTCCAAACCGAAATATATCTTTCCTGTGTTTGATCCTTTAAATAAGCAGAAATCTTAGCCATTTCTGCTAAATTTGACACTTTAAGAGACCATTCTTCTACAGTAGGCAAACGATCCGTCTTCCAATTTTGAGCTACCAATAGTCTTGCAGCTGTTATGAGATTTAACATCAGATTCATTTCTTTAAGATCCAAACATCACTTACATTGACAACCCATTGGAATGAGGACTATAGGGCAGGGGTAGTCAACCTTGGCTCTTTTAGGACTCGTGGACTTCAATTCCCAGAATTCCTGAGCCAGCTTAGCTGGCTCAGGAATTCTGGGAGTTGAAGTCCACGAGTCCTAAAAGAGCCAAGGTTGACTACCTCTGCTATAGGGCATAGCAGATTCCAAAAAGACAGCTATAGGCCAGTGGCCCCGAGCCAGACTTAAACCAACATTTTTACACTTTTCTGCTACCGATCATCCACTCATAATTCTTACTTTGTAAGACAGTCCCCATCTGAAACTTCCATACATCAGCTACTTTCAGTTCCTCTTTTCCCACGGTTACAATACTCCTGTTCTAAATGTACACAGAACTACCTACTGTGTAATTTCATATTGCACAAAGCTCAGCAGGTTACAAATAGTACGTCCTTATTGAGAAACAGCATCAAGTTCAAAGCTTCAAATCACTTCTGGGGAGGGGGCCATTTCAGCTTTGTTCTAGCCCAGTGGTTCTCAACCTTTTTAATGCTGCGACCCCAACCGGTCATAAGTTGAGGACTAAACTGGTCGTAAGTTGAGGACTAAACCGGTCGTAAGTCGAGGACTAAACCGGTCGTAAGTCGAGGACTACCCAACCGGTCGTAAGCCGAGGACTTTCCCTGCCCGGGAGCGCCCCGCATGCGTGGTTCCGCCCCCTGCGCCGGCCGAGGCGTAGCTGGCAAGCGGCAGAGACGGAGCAGGCCGACCACCAGCTGGCCCAGCCCAAGGGAGGTAAGGCACCCGCCGGAAAAGGGGAAAAAAATGGCGGACAAAAAAATGGCGGACAAAAAAAATGGCAGACAGCCTTGCTTGGCGACCCCCGTGAAATGGTCGATCGACCCCAAATGGGGTCCCGACCCACAGGTTGAGAACCACTGTTCTAGCCCTATCTTATTAGATGAGGAGGGGGCTATATTTTCATCTGCCACAGAAGTAACAGCGTTAATGTGGTGGACTTGTAAGGTTATTAAGGCCTTTTGGATACAATTGTGGTGGAACTTACAGCAAATCTTTAAAAAAAGGATTATTTTTCTCCCACAGCTGTTTCTCTTAGGTATTGTGCAAGATTTAGATGCAAAAGAAATAAATTTGATGCTTTATTGTATAACTGCTGCCCATTTGCTGATAGCCCAAAATTGGAAGAGCCCAATTCTGCCTACAATGGAAGACTGGAGATTGAAAGTTTCGTATCTTGCTGAAGTGGCAAAGATTTCGGCTTATTTGAAGAACTACTCGAATGAACAATTTTTATTAATATGGAGAAGATGGATTGTTTATATTCAAAAGAAGCATAGAGTGGTAGAATATAATTTAGGTTTTTAGATTTTCTTATTTTGTTTACTCTTTCTATCTTTTCATGTAGATTAAGATATTTTGTGGAGTTAGAGATATTAGTATTTGCTTACTTATATATGAATATTATCCTGGGATTAGGTTTGGGAAGTCCGGGGGTGGGGGTGGGGGTTTTTTACTTGTTATTGCGTTTATTTATGTTTATGATTGTTTTTTTATGATGGAAAATAATAAAATTTCTTTGGAAAAAAAGAAAAGAAAAAAGAAGTAACAGCGTTAGTGCTAGAAGAGTGCAGTTTATGGAATGGAGGAAGAAGAAAAAACAGGAGGAGGAGGAGGAGGAGGAGGAGGAGGAGGAGGAGGAGGAGGAGGAGGGAGAGGAGGGAGAGGAGAAAGAGGAGGAAAAGGAAGGAGGCCAGCTCGCCTGACCAATAACCAGCCAAGACACAGTGAAGGCCTTTTGTTTCGTTTATTGCCATCAGCGGGGAGAGAAGCTATAAAAGATTGGTTCTCTCCAAAGTTTTAACCCAAAATATCTCCTTCTTTTATTCATCCCTATCACCGGCCGCTCCATCCCTCCTCTTTCCCCACTGGCTGAGGTACTATGAGGTTACACTCTTTCCGACCGCCTATACACATTTCCTGATGACATATTAAATCATATTCACATATACAATAAGAGTAAGAAAAATTAGACATTTACATTATTTTAAACTCAGTAGATATTTAGGTCCCCATTTTAAACAATAAGTTCTTTTCCTGCTTTTCAATTCAGGCTGCCTTTCCTCTTATCTTATTCAGCTTATTTTCCTATTCTCCATCCTGTCTTTTCCTGGCTAGCCATTTCCTATATATTTTATGGCTTCTCTTCTTCCTTTCTCAGACCCAGCTATTTTTGCCTACATATTTCCTTTACATCCTTTCTTTATGTTATCTCTTCCTGACTCTCACCAATTG